TCACTTTGTCACAGCTTTTCAAAAGGCACCAGAAATGTAGAGCCATGACACAGTGGTCTCATTACAGTTTCATTACAGTAGTACTGTAAATCCATAATCCTTTACAGGGATGTCTGTTGATAGTATTTCATAACAGTCTGTCTATCCAATGTTAAGGACAAATGTGGATTCCAATGTAGCGTCTACAGATTTCTGTTTTATTTGATTAAATTATGCATATTCTTAGTTAGATTTACATGTTACCTGAAAGAGAAGTTTACCTAAAACTGAAAGGAAACCTTTCTGAGATAAATATAGGGGCTGACATAACTAACCTCTTTCTAATACTAGTTGCCTGGCTTTCTCTGGCTTTAATGCCTTTATTCACCCAGAACAAGTTTGCAGATTAGTGAAATACACCAAGTGATAGGTCCCCTCACTATGAGTACCCTGTCTACATCTCTCCCCCTACAAGACCATATCTATCATTAGCACAAGAAAATATATAGGGTTTGCGGAGAGATGTGAATGACCAAGACTGAGTAGTTTTCTAAAAATGTTTGCAAATTTATTAAATAAACAGAATTTATAAATATACATTAAAACAATTTTAGAAAACTACTCAGTCTTGGTCATTCACATCTCTCCGCAAACCCTATATATTTTCTTGTGCTAATTGCAGATTAGTGAAATCAGATCTTCTGATGTAAATATATGGTCCAAGCCATGGGTTTAGCAATCATCTAGCATTTTTAAGAAAGTTAAGATTCAAGTTTTAAAAAGTTATTTGCAGGTTACTTACTTGCTTGTTTGCCTGTGTGGGACTCATGCAGCAAGGTTTACTAGACATCTGCAATTTGTTTAGTTCCGAATCAAAATTCGCATGAATTTTCCAAAATGTGGACATTCGGACACATCTGAATTTCTGAACCCCAATGCAACCGAATGTGTCTGAATTTCGTTAAAAAAACTAAACTGAATCGGACATGTGACTTTTCTGGCCAATCAGATGTGTTTTTCGGTTTCATGCATCGTAATGGGTCTGAACACACATTTTCATTTTGGCAACATGGGAGCCATATACAGTACAGTATATACATATAATACTAAAGGTGAGGCTCCTAGACTCGAATGGCATTCGAGATCCAAATTTCCTAAATGCATTCGGTAGCTTCCAAATGCCTTTGTTGTCAGGAAGCCATATACATACATTCAGGGCCAGCCTTAGGCCTTTAGGCGCCCTGTGCGAGAAAGCTTTACAGCGACCCTCAGTGACCACACCCATTTCTCCAATATCCGCACCATTTAAAGACTCCCATTTTGTTAAGCCTTAAATAAACATATAAAACTAAATAAACATACAACTAAAATAGAGTCTATAAAAATATATTATATGTCAGGTTGTCATGCAGACCCTTTTTTCAAGTAAGTGCATCTAGAAAAGTAAAAATAAAAAACAGAGCACAAAACCTGGACTACGTGTTAAATTAATGAATTACTATTTGAACCGAATATACGAAAAATGTATTCAGGTACATAATAATTTGTTTGAGAATGTGCGGCGGCTATGTTGGCCACTGGCGTGTTCTGCGAATGCATGCCACCATCTTGGAGGCGGGGAGCATGACGTCACATGACGCCATGCATGCGTGGCATCAGGTGACATAACACGCCAATATAGGCGCCGCCATCTTGGTGTATACCTAGATATACACTAAGATGGTGGCGCCCAACACGTGCGGTGCCATAAGATGTCATGTGCCCTGCCTCCACCAGTGGCCGAATCCAAAATAGCATAAAAATTTGTTTTGTTTGATGAAACAAATTAATTTTTTTTTCATTTTCGTTCATTTAATCTGAAATTAATTTTTAGTCTTTGCACATGTCTAATAATACGCGTGTGTGTGGGGGGGGGGGTAATTTTCACTTTTTAAAATAATTTTTTAAATTTATTTTGTTTTATTTTTAGACCGTTGACATTTACCTTTTAAAATAGAAAAATAAATTGAGGACACAGAGTCCTCATTTCTTTTTCTGCAGCTTCATCACTCAATGATTGGAAAGCATTCAGTACAGAGGCTTCCCAATCATTCAGAAACTGGTGATAGTAAAATATTTACTATCACCAGTTTATGAATGGGGAAAAGTCTCTGTAGTGTAGGGAGGGCTACTCCCCATTGAGGAATTCATGAATGAACAGGAAGTGATGTAAATCACGTCCTTTTCATTAATAACTGGGGATACATAGTACTATGTGTCCCCAGTTATTTACAAACACTGGAGTGATCAGACGATCACTCCAGTGTTTGCTATGCACAGAGGATTGGTAAATATCAGTGATATTTACCGATCCTCCGCTCGGCCATGCACAGAGCCGCTGTCATCCTGAAACTGACAGGATGACAGCGGCTCCGATCTCCTCACCGTTTGGCCATCCTTAAAGCTGTGGCTTCTCTCCTTCTCAGCGCTCAGCCATCCTGACAGCAGGCAGCGCTCCCTCCTGCCCCCTCCCGCAGGCTTCAGCGGACAGTTTCTCCTCAGAACCTTGCTGCCTCAGCCCATACAGGCAGTGGGGTCCGAGGACAGGAGGAGTGAACGCTGTCATGTCGGATGACCGAGAGGTGAGGAGGAGAGAAGCCGCAGGCTGTAGCTGCCCCGAGAACGAGCTGTGTCGGCCGCCTGGCGCCCTTGTTGCCACGGCGCCCTCTGCGGCCGCACAGCTCGAATACCCCAAAGGCCAGCCCTGCATACATTAATAGAAAACAATAGGGCATTTAACCCTTTCGATGCCAAGGACGTACAGCATACGGAGGTACAACAGTGCGTCTGGCTGGCCAGCTCAGTATGCCGTATGGACCTGGCATTTACAGTTCTACTATAAGCTCATGTCAAATATTTCACTGCAGCCCCCCAACAGTACAAAAAATAATTAAAAAATAAATAGAAAATTTAAAAAAAATACAAATAATAAAAAAAATGTGTAAAAAAAACTAATAAAAAAAAGCACAACCCCTCCCTCCCCCCACATAACACACACATATTTTGGTGCACACCATGCACATGCGCTGCAGTGCGTTGTTAGAACGCATCACAGTGCATGATCTTATTTATTTATTTTTTTCTTTAAAAAAAATTAAATTAACTGTGGCAGCGCATGGCAAAGCTTTGTGACGCATTGCCGTGCGTTGTGATACCTTGTGTTGCAATTAAATATACACCTGTATCATTTTATCACAACACAAACACCAAAACAATTTTTTACATAAGTCGATTATTTACAGTTTTGCATACCTTCATTTTTTTACCTATTCGCAAAAAGGCGCAATTACAAATTTGCTAATATTTGTTATTTATTAACTCAATACAGTTTTATCTTTTAGATTTAGTCAGAAAATATATATTTTTGTGCACGGATACTGATTTTGGTGTATTTTAACAATTGAATTGTGTATTTCTATCGGTTTAATATTAATTTGAGAAACATTTGTGCAATTATCGCAGGGCCTACAAATTTAGTATCACCATCTTTTGATTCTACCGGGCCTGCTCTTTCAGAAAATATAAGGTTTGGGGGGGTCTTTCACAAACGCTAGCAACCCAGCAGTTGAAAATCAAATCAATAGTAAAAAATTGCAAAAATGGCTTGGCCAGTTGATTTGAAAAATTTTCTGGAGGGCTTGGCAGCGAAAGGGTTAAGGCACCAGGTGACAGATTCAAGAGATTACAACATGCTTTTTAATAATACTAATAATAATTTATTTTATACAAAAATTTAAAAACCATTAAAAAATTATGTATGCATGCTAACATCATCCAAAATACATCCAATAAAACCCCTCCACTATATAATAATTGAGGCATATTGATCATATACAACATAATTGAACAATTCATGAGAATATATAACTCATACAGAAAAACCCCCTTAGAGATGGTGATGGAGTAGTCAATTTTTCAGTACAATGACAAATACTCCAGCATATCATGATACAAACACAATGAATCACAAATTACATGATAAGTACAATCAAAGAGGAATGTTCTCAAAATCATGTATATCACTGCAGCCTCTTCTGGTGATGGTAGAGGAGCAGTTGGTGCTCTCGACGTGTTTCACGCTCACAGCGCTTCCTCAGGAGATGGAGGAAATCTAAATGACCAAAAAGTCAATGAATATACCCAATTGGGAAACATATCCACTCAAATTCATTGATGGTAGTAAATTAGCAATGATGTCACCTACTGAACAAGAAGGTAGCTTGTGTGTATCCAACCGGATCAACCCAGAGCAGCAGGAGTAGCAGGTAAGGACCAAACCCCCAAGATGATAGGGGTAGTAACAGGATAGAAATCCTTGTACGACAACAAGAAAAATCCCTAAGTCAACAAAGTAAAAAGACAATATAATATAACTATGACAGCTATCAGACCCCAAAGATTTGGCCAAAATCCAAAATCCCAATACTAGGAAGTGTATATATTACTAAAGCTGAGGCTCCCAGACCTGAATGGCATTCGGGAGTTCGGGAGATTGAGCTTTAGTATTAATATCCGTATATGGTTTTCTGTGGTATCCACAATGAATATTCGTAAACTCATCCGAAACTAACAAAAATTCTGATTTTGTCCGAATCCAAAATTCGAACCGAATTGAATTTCAGATCCGAATCCCAAAATAACGAAATAACCGAACCAAATGTTTCTGCAGCTTACATGTCTAAGGTTGACAGTCCCTTGCCCTTGCTTTTTAAAGGGTATTCTAACTTTTTGGATTGTTCATTTAATTTGCATCACCAACAGGAGTTCTAACTTTCACACGTCCAGGTCAGTAAAGCCAAAGTCAACCAGGCAACTATCATTACAAAAGAACTGCAGCAATGGCAGCCCATGAATTTCCCTCACGACAGGCATTCTTTTAGTGGTAGTTGAAAATGTTGGATAGGTTTATGATCATTGTTTAGTCTCCTGTCTGATGTGTGACATAGATTTAACTACAATATGCTTTCAATTAATTATTTTAGCTACAATGTTTGCATTATGGCATATGGACAAACTGGGAGTGGAAAAACCTACACGATGATGGGACCCCATTCTGACAGTGAAAGTGAAAACCACACAGAACTTGGAATTATCCCAAGAGCAGCAGAAGAGCTATTTAGGTAAAATCGGTAGTGGTTCACTAAGGCGTGACTGGAGGACCATGTAGCTGTCCTTGCACACGGTCTCTGCCGAGACTCTGGAGAAAGCTGCCCAGGATGCTGCAACACCTCTAGTGGAGTGAGCCCGGATTTCCGCTGGAACTGGAAGGCCTCTCGTCGAATAGGCTTTCCGGATGGCCTTCACCAGGTACGAGGCTATGGTTTTTGCCGAGGCTGCTTGGCCTCTCCGCAGGCCCTTTGGAACGATGAAGAGACAGTCATGCTTCCTGAAGGAAGCGGTGGCCGCTATGTAGGAGCTAAGAGCGTCCTTGAGGTCCAGCGCATGTGGATTGCCTTCCTCATCCTGGAAGGAAGGAAGCGCCAGCTCCTGGTCCATGTGAAAGGGAGTTGACACTTTTGGCAAGAAGCTTGGAGAAGGTCTGAGCACAACTCTTTCTTGGAAAAACACTCAGTAGGGATCTCTGCAGGATAGCGCCTGTAGCTCTGACACGCGTTTCGCTGACATGATAGCGACCAGAAAAATGGGTTTAAGGGTCAAATTCCACACAGTAGAGGTAGCATTCGGATGGAACGGTACAGATGACAGTGTTGAAAGGACTAAAGAAAGATCCCACTGGGGAAATAAAGTCTTCCTCGGAGGTGGCCGCGAGAAACAGCAATGGAGGACAGGAGGGATGGGAGAGAGACCAGGTCCGGCTGCCGAAATTCCGAGAAGTAAGGCTCAATGGAGCCCCCGATGTTAGACCCAGGCTGCAGAGCGGGTCCCGCCGCCTGTATACCTTGTTTAAAGGCATGAAAGGCAGAGGCGTCACAGCAGGGGAGACCTGACACTGTATGGGAAGCCGCAGCAACGGCCAGGTAAGGGAAAAAAAGTAGTAGACTCGTCCATGGCGCGGACAGAAAAAAGAATACCGGGGGCGGTGGGGAGCCTAATCTTATAATTGACTTGTCCTATAGGGTTAAGGGGCGGAGCATTAACCCGTTGTGTGCTGCCATGATGCCCCAGGAAATATATATATTTTGAGGAAAATAATTATTTGATCCCCTACAGATTTTGTAAGTTTGCCCACTTACAAAGAAAAGAAAGGTCTATAATTTTATCATAGGTGTATTTTAAATGATAGAGACAGAATATCAACCAAAAATCCAGAAAAAACACATGATAAAAATATAAATTGAGTTGCAGTTCTCAGAGGAAAATAAGTATTTGATTCCCTACCAACCAACAATAATTCTGGCTCCCACAGACTGGCTCTGTGGTACACAGATTAGTCTTGTCAATTTAAGTAGGTGCTCCTAGCGACAACTATATGCATATAAAAGACACTGGTCCACAGAATCTCTTTCTTCCATTCAAACCTCACCACCATGGGCAAGACCAAAGAACTGTCAAAGTAAGTTAGTGACAAGATTGTAGAATTGCACAAGGCTGGAATGGGCTACAAGACTATCAGCAAGAAGCTTGGTGAGAAGGAAACAACTGTTGGAGTGATTATTCGCAAATGGAAGGAATGCAAAATAACCATCAATCGCCCTTTGTCTAGAGCTCCATGCAAGATTTCGCCTCATGGGTTATCAGGTGCGTCCACGGGCGAGCAGCACAGGGGGAACCCGCTGGCAGGAAGCAGCCGGAAGGGTCCGGAGGCAAGGTAACCAGGGGGCAATCCAAAGAGGTAGTCGAGGGTAATCCGAGGTCGAGGCAGGCAGCAGAGGGTCAGAAACGATAGGCGGTCCAAGGTCGGTACACGGGAGGTCAGCAGAGGGTTCAGGAAACAGGCAGCAAGGCACATAGGAGGGGAGCTTCGTATGTCACACCATGAGGTGGAATAACTCAGCAATAAGCCAGAGCTCAGGCCAGGTTTTTATAGCCAGGGGAGTTAGGACCACCCCCCGGTTACCGAGGCAACCAGGAGGCTTCCTTCCTCGGGAACCAATGGCAGGCGAAAGAGATGGAAGGTGTGTACAGGGAACCTCCCCCAGCAAGGCTCACACCTGATGCCTAATGGCGCAGGAGTGCAACACGCGTGCCCCCGGGGATGCGTGCGCAGCCTGCGTACCGCGCATGCACACCCGCCGTGCGACTCGCGCATGCGTACCCGCAACCCGGGGCACCAGGAGTTCTGCCAAGCTGAGGGGAAACCCGTGGCCCCCGAGCAGGAGCAACACCCCCTGCTTCCTGACATGGGGTAAGGATGATCATGAGAAAAGTGAGGGATCAGCTTAGAACTACACGGGAGGAGCACAGTCACCAAACCATTGGTAACACAATACACAACCATGGATTGAGATCCTGCAGCACCCGCAAGGTCCCCCTCCTCAAGAAGGCACATGTACAGGCCCGTTTGAAGTTTGCCAATGAACATCTAAATGATTCAGAGAAGGATTGGGAGAAAGTGCTGCGGTCAGATGAGACCAAAAGTGAGCTCTTTGGCATTAACTTGACTTGCCGTGTTTGGTGGAAGAAAAATGCTGACCATGACCCAAAGAACACCATCCCTACAGTCAAGCACCGAGTTGGAAACATTATGCTTTGGGGCTGTTTCTCTGCTAAAGGTACAGGCCGACTTTGCCGAATTGAGGGGTCAATGGACGGGACCATGTATTGTAAAATCTTGGATGAGAACCTCCTTCTCTCAGCCAGAACATTGAAGATGGGTCGTGGATGGGTCTTTCAGCATGACCCAAAACTTACCGCCAAGGCAACAAAGCAGTGGCTCAAGAAGAACCACATTAAGGTCATGGAGTAGCCTAGCCAATCTCCAGACCTTAATCCTATAGAAAATTTATGGAGGGAGCTGAAACTTCGAGTTGCCAAGTGACAGCCAAGAAATGGATTTAGAGAAGATCTGTAAAGAAGAGTGGACCAAAATCCCTCCTGAGATGTGTGTAAACCTGGTAACCAACTACAAAAAACGTCTTACCTCTGTGCTTGCCTACAAGGGTTTCTCCACCAAGTACTAAGTCATGTTTTGCTCGGGGATCAACTGAACAGCAACATAAATTTATAACATTCGTATCATGTGTTTTTTCTGGATGTTTGGTTCATATTCGGTCTCTATCATTTAAAATACACCTATGATAAAAATCATAGACCTTTCATTTCTTTGTAAGTGGGCAAATTTACAAACTCTGCAGGGGATCCTGTTTATAGATTGCTGAACCTATAAGTGACTACATTTTCATGACCTGAATAATGAAACTGCAATACATGTCAAGGGATTTTCATTTGAAGATATCAGGGTACAGGCAAACAGAAGTGATCCAGATTGAATCCTGAACCATGTAATCTACATATCCGTATTAAAAGCCTGCCTTAGTCAAATGATGTAAAGCTGTGGCCAGGTGATTTTCCAGTTTATCCTCTATGAAAAAACACAATCCTACCCACTATTCTTCAATAACCACTGCTACCCTAGATTTGCCAGCAGTGGATGTCTGTCAGCAACCACTTAAAATTGTAACAGATTGTTATTTCTTATCTATTGGTACCATAAAATAGTCCGTGTAGTAACAGAGACAGACAGCAAAGGTATCTATTTGCAATAATAAAACAGTAATCGAAAATAAGACATAATACAGGTAAATAACAAATAAATGTAGTAATTTATGCATGTACAGACAAAAGTAATAAAAAACAAACAAATCACATTTAACTGCCTCCGGGCCGGCCGTAGTAAAAAAACGGCCGGCCAGGAGCTCTCTCAATCTGAGCGGGCGTCTCTAGATGTCCGCTCAGACACGCCCCCTTGCGCGCGCCACTGGGAAATGGCCGGAATTTAAAAACGGGCAGCGATGCCCGTTAATATACATGCGATCCGCCGTTATGACCATGCTAGTAGACACCTGCTGTCCTATGTGCAAGCAGCCTGAAAAGAGCGAGGGACAAAAGCAGTGGCAGACTCTTTAATGTAGCCCCACATCCTTACTTTGTCACTGCCATGTGCCCCTCTCCTTGCACAGTGGCCCTGGATGGCCTAAAACAGAAGCACAACACGAACACCCATAAAAATAAATTTACCAATAAAATAGGGTATATGTTTTGAAGTATGATGTGGTCTTCTAATCTATTGCATAAAGGCGCTTTATTTGTAAATATTTTGACTTTCCACCTTTTATATTCTCAAAACCTCTCAACTAATCCTAGACTCATTTTGGAAAAGCCAGAAGGAAGCCATTCTGTGGAAGTCTCCATACTTGAAGTATATAATAATGAGATTTACGATCTTCTAGCATATGACGGTCATGCAAATCTATGCTTAAAGCGCGATATTGTGACTGGTAAAGATGGGAAGAGTGATGTGGCTTCACTGACATATAAGTAAGTTTTCCTTCCCAGTTCTTCTAAAGTTTACTCTATGAGTGAGAGGCTTGATTTAGGAAGTTTCTTTTAGCTAAACATGTATTTCCACTTTTACAGCCAAATTGGGATAACACTTACTCTATATTTGTTACATGTTCCCAATCTCATAGCATAACTTTTAAAAAAATATTGTCAGAAATTCACTTGGAAAAGTGTAATAAAATTGAAACATTTCTTACCAGATAGTTACCGTTTATAAAATTTGCACCCTAAAATTATACACCCTCTGAACAAGAAACATTCTTATCTCCCTTCCAATTCAATGTTTGTTTTGGTCTGACAAGTCTGGGAGCCCCGTAACACGTACGTCTACCATCCTTTGTGGTCTTTGGAAGGTGACCAGGGAAATAAGACATTTCTCCCTATGCTTCCCCATAACAAAAGGGGGACAACTCCTTAATGCTATTTGATTCTCTATTTAGCATTGATGAGATTGCACTATGGAGTCCCACAGTAGCACATATACTTTACCACATCCCACAGTACTTTGCTATGTATGGGTTCTGTTTGTTTGTGTTTTTGCTTTAGTTTTACTTTAGTTTTGGATATAGATCACCTACGGCAATCTTGATATTATATAGTGTCTTTAAAGACTGCTTAATATCATTGTATGCTGTTCGGATGTATACCTCTATATGTAAAATGTCGTTTTTTATTGCATAAATAATAAAAAATGTTTTTGAAAAACAAAATATTGCAGCTTACCTTTTTTAGATGCTCTCTCTGCAAATTTTAGGACTAAAATAATTTCAAATAATTAACCTTGTCTGTATGGTGCTGGCAGATTTTATTATCACTTGTAAACCAGATGAGCAGGGCTGTCTCTCCTTACAAAGGGCTGATGCCTTGAAATTATTGCATGCTGATGAGGAGACACTCAGTCTTTCTATTAGCATATTCACAGTTTACTGTTACTGAAACTGAGATAAGAGCATGCAAAGGCCTGCTAAATAGAGATATCTAAAAGATAAGAAATATTTACTTTTATTATTGTTAGATATGCTGTGTAAATGGGAGCACATAACAAAACATTAATTGTTCAAACGCTATTGAGGGAAATACATCACTCTCTCACTCCATTTTTAAAATAGTTTTCTGAACACATTTTAAAACTGTAGAATGTGATTGTGTAAAGATTTGCATGGCAAAGGATCCTGGGAGGAAGCTGCCATTGCAGACTTTTTTTTTTAAGGTGCAGATTCCAGAGCATTTATCCTGATCACGTTATCACCATATAGTAAATCACTGGCCTGGAACAACAATGCAGACAGAAAATTCTGAAGGTTTGACCTTGTGTCCTGAATACTAGTTCCATGATAAAAACGATAGCAATGATATACCAGGAACTGAAAACTTTTAGTCCCCATTCGCGCATTGCATGGGTTTGTGTGCATTTTCTTTGTGCATTTGCCCCGCATCCTAATTGATTCAATGGCTTTCTGTACAAAGTGACAAATGCAGAAAAGAAGCTCATGTTAAAAAATCGCATTTTAAAGAGCGCATTTTAAGTGCATATTATTATGCGCGTTTGAAGCACGTTCCAAAACCATCTAGGTGTGAATTGGGACTTAAAGGGAATATGTTATTGATCAATTTTATTTGACATATGTATAGGGTTGCCACCTTTTCTTCAAGCCAAACCCGAACACTCTACCAACGAGCGGACATTTTTTTGGGACAATGAAACACGGCTTATTCATGTGCAAATAGCGCCGCCCATTCATATGTAAATATCACAGTTGAGGCTATTTTCAGTGGTGGAGCAGTAGCCCCTATCTTAATTTTGGATGCCCCTTCCTGCCTCACAACTGGTGTCCGGGTTTCTGCTGCCATAAAACTCGGACACAGCATTCAAAACCCGAACTGTCCGGGTGAATCCTGGACAGGTGGCAACCCTACATATGTAGAGTGTTCACAAGGTTACAACATGTCTATTACATTATTTTCATTCAATTCTTGTCTATAATTTTTATTTATAATATAAGTATTTAAATGCAGGAGGCTTTTTATAGTATTAGTAGAGCATACATAGCTTTGTAATACATAAGCCCAGCAGTTCATGATCACTTCCTGATTGTCTCTGTTGAGGTAAAATATCATAGAGAGCTGTATGAGCAGAGAATGAAGGGGAGATGTGTTCACCGCAAAGTGGCAAAATTATTCAACAAAGATGGTGGTGAACTATATCAAATGCTATTGCACGGCATCTTTATATCATCATTATCATCCTCCAACTGTAGACATTAAAACTTGTGCTTTTTTAACAAAAGAGATATTTGAATATATGTTTTATTTTTGTCTAAATCTATCCTTCTTTATGTAAATATCTGAGATTTGGGAATTTAGTCCACAGCATACGTCATGGCAGGGATAAAACAAACTGATGGCTGCCATTAAATGTCCTGAAGGTTAGAGCCAATACAAAACAAATGCACACTTGCTGCATACCTCATTATTTTTCTTCAGTTTTTTAAAATCAGTTTAAATAACCTAAAAAGCCTAAACTGATATTGTTTTATTGTTCTACAGACATGCTACATACATTGAAGATGTTCTGGATTTGGTGAAAAAAGGTTTACAGTTAAGAGTTAAACATTCAACCCTAATTCATGCAAATTCTTCTCGTTCCCATTTAGTTGTCACCCTGACTGTGACAACCAGTGCTGCATTTGGTGAGTCAGTTATATATACAGTTCACAAGTGCCTGCATTAGTACCTCATATAAACCTGATTAAGAGGTGTACAACCTTTTTATGTCAAGACTCCAGGTATTATGGTGCCCCAGGAGTCAATTATGAGACCTCAAATATGTATTTTTCAACAGACCACTATTTGATAAATTTAATGTAATATAATCTTTAGACATCACAAATGTGTTGTGAGACCCTCAGCGCACTTACCTAGGGTATGACCTCACGCTTGTTCCAATTTACTACACATTTGATTAGAAATAAACATTACACATAAGAAAAATCTGGTGTGCAGAGTCTGGACCTACTTTGGCATGCAGAAAAGGGAAACTATACAACTTTAAAAACAAATGATTTGTCATTTATATTCACTTATATAAATATTTTTATGAATAAATATCATACAGGGTGTCCTCAAATAATTCAAAATAGTAAAGAAAAAAGACATATTCACTAACATAGGCAAGGTGGAAGGCCATTGCTTGATTAAACAGGGTGAGCAATAACAATCAGGACTGGTTTTAGGTCTGATCTAATTTACAGAGGCCAACTGCCAGGTTTGAGGGCCACCTACATCATCCTGCATGCATTTCCAATAAGCCTCATACATCTGTGGGTGGTTTAAGATACAGTAAATGAACGCATTTAAAACTGCCCTTCTTAACTGGACTTTGGTTTTAAAAACAACAAAATAGAAGTAACACCTTAGTAGAAGTAACACTGTAACGTTGGGCTTTCTCGTGAGCTTTACGGGTATTCTACCAACAAGAAAAGAAGATTCAACAATTGCAGCAATTTACAATGTCTACAATTAAATACATCACTCCTATTTGGTCTTTATTAATGTTTTCTTTTTGTAGACCCATTTGACAGTGGAAAACATAAATCAGTCAAAACAAAACTGCAGTTGGTTGACTTAGCTGGAAGTGAATGTGTAGGTATGTGGTATAAATCTGTAAATTAGAATGTAAGGCAAATATTATATTTCTGTATGAAATGGAACCCACGTGCATCATGTTTCAGTCAAATTAAATTTATCATAAAAGGAAACCTAGCCACAACACCATGGGTGTGCAATATACACATTTAAAAAAATCTCATCAATGTACACATGTCCTGTCCCTCTACCACACTGAGTCCCCCTACTTGCCCTTTCTGATAAATATCAGCTGTAAAAATCACAGTTGGAACTTGTTCTCTATCACAACTGGGGATGCAGCTACTGCTGTGTAAAATGGGGCTTCTAAACACTGTTCAGAAGCCAGCCGTCATCTCACAGCTGCAGAGACAGATCAGCAACCCCTGGTTACCAGGTAACCACGGACGCTGATCTGTCATTACACTGATAACCCCGCGGAGCAGCTGTGATATCAAGGCGGCTCCGCCAGGTTCTCAGTGTGTAATCACAGTTCAGCATCTCCTGGTTACCTAGTAACCAGGGGACACTGGACTGTCATGAGAGCTTGTCGGAGCCGGCTTTGATATCACCGCCGGCTCCGACAAGCTCTCATTGTAATGACAGCTGGTCCCGGCCAATAGAAAACATTTCGGCGGGGCTAGCTGTCACTGCTAGCTCCGCCCAATCATATTCTCCTTTTCTCCTTTTTTTATCCTGCTTGGTACCACAGAGGTACCGAGCAGAATAGCCGAGCAGCATTCGGATATTCACTCACTGCTGTTCGGGTCCTATGAGAATAGGCAGAACAGCAGCGAGTAGCCTGCAGGAGGTTCGGCTCAGCCGATCCAGATGTTGGATCAGATGAGTCGAACTCCTTCTGCACTTCGGGTCGGCCGAACATGCTCAGCATGTTCGCCCGACCCAAACCCAGCCGCAGCAAGCCGATGTACGGCTGATTTCAGTCGGTATATGGCTGAAATCAGCCGTACAAGCCTGAAGTGAATAGCCGAACAGCTTTCGGCTCACTTCACTTCGGGTCGGTTATTCACACGGCTGCCTCCGGCAGCTGTGTGAATAACACCCTACGTGTACCCAGTTATTTACAAACAGGTAAATATCGGTAAATATCAATGATATTTATCGATCCTCTGTTCCGCCACGCACAGAGCCGCTGTCATCCGGAAACTGACAGGATGAAAACGTTCTCCTCACCGCCTCTCCGTTCTCCTCACCGCTCGGCCATCCCGAAACTTGCGGCTTCTCCCCACCACCCGACGCTCGCTCATCCATCCGTCCCCAAAGCCCATCCCCCCCGCCGGATATTTTTTTTTATCCCCACAGAGTCACAGATCCCTGCCTGGAGCGGCAATTTTTCCCATTGATTTGATTTTTAATTTCTGCGTTGCTAGCGTTTGTAAAGGACCCCCCAAACCATATATTTTCTGAAAGCACAGGCCCGGTAGAATAAAAAGATGGTGCTACTAAATTTGTAGGTCCTGCGATAAGTGCGCAAATGTTTCTCAAATTAATATTAAACCGATAAAAATACACAATTTAATTGATAAAACACACCAAAATCAGTATCCGTGCACAAAAAAAAATATTTTCTGACTAAATCTAAAAGATAAAACTGTATTGAGTTAATAAATAACAAATATTAGAAAATTTGTAATTGCGCCTTTTTGCAAAAAGGTAAAAAAAATTAAGGTACGCAAAACTGTAAATAAGGCGACTTATGTAAAAAATAGTTTTTACGCTGTGTTGGTGTTTGTGTTGTGATAAAATGATACAGGCATATATTTAATTGCAACACACGAGATCACAACGCATGGCAATGCGTCACAAAGCTTTGCCATGCGCTGCCACAGTTAAATTAATGTTTTCTTTAAAAAAAAAAACATGCACTGCAATGTGTTCTAACAATGCACTGCAACGCATGTGTATGGCGTACACCACAATATGGTGCACGTATATATTATGTGTGTGGGGTGAGGGAGGGGTTGTGTTTTTTTTAAATAATTTTTTTTTAAACATTTTATTGATTTTTTAATTCTATTTATTTATTTTTACTATTGGGAGGGCTACGGTGAAATATCTGGGGTCTAAACAGACCCCTGACATTTCCCTTTTGAAATGTAAAAAGAAATTGAGTCCTCAATTTCTTTTTCTGCAGCCCCAGCACTCAATGAATGGGAAGCACTCAGTACAGAGGCTTCTCATTCATTCAGAAACTGATGACAGTCAAAATATTTTAGTATCATTAGTTTATGAATGGGGAGGAGCCTCTGTAGTCAGTGCTAGTCCCCATTAATAAATTTATGAATGACTAGGAAGTGATGTAAATCACAACCTGTTCATTCATAACTGTCCCCAGTTATTTACAAACACCGGCGTGATCAGACGATCACTCCGGTGTTTGCTCTGCACAGGGGGATCGATAAATATCAATGATAATTATCGAACCCCGTTCGGCCACGCACAGAGCCGCTGTCATCCGGAAACTGACAGGATGACACCGGCTCCATTATACCTACCGCTCGGCCATCCTGAAATCTGGTTTGTTTTTTTGCCCTAATGCATTCTTTCCATTAAGGCAAAAAACACCCAACACTTTCCTAACATTCCCGTCTCCCCCACACTTACCTACAGCCGCTCGTCTCCTCCGAGTGACCAAGACGTTTCCCCAAACTTACTGGTTCCAGGGGAGGGTCCTGAGGGCAGAGGAGCCATAGGCTTCTTCTGCCTTCAGTCAAGCTGCGACTGCAAGGATGGGGCTGTGGCCGACCGCACACCATGTGTGTCTATGGACCCACACAGCTAGGTGCGGGCATGGACGTGACCGTGCACATATGGGTCCTTTCATAGTAGTCGGCTACCTGTTGGAGGCACCCGTACAGGGGAGTGGCGCTGGCAGTCTGGATACCACTAGAGAACGGGTAAATTAACATTTTAAAAAAATAATCGTTTTTTTATAGCAAGTCTTGCCACCATATAGAAGAAAATTAAAAAAAAACCTGAAGGTTTAATGTCGCTTTAAGACAACCCTACAAGTACAAAAAAAAAGTTCCCCCCCCCCCCATAAAATGAGTTCCTATTTAACCCCTTATTGACCGTAAGTTAACTGTAATCAGCCCTAATAAACTTCCTACCCCAAACTATTTTTATTGTAGATTTGTTTTTATTTCTATTTTTTGCACAATATGTCTATTTTTATTTCAGTTTTGTTTTGGTTTTGAAATGTTCATTTCGGTGCACCTCTAGGTTTAACCATATTCTTCTTTTTACAAAATAGTTGGATAGAGTTGGGCAACCACTCCAGGGGTGGGCAACCTTCACCCCTGCAGCTGTGGTGAAACTACAACTCCCATGAAACATTGCAAGACTTAGACAGCCACAGGCATCACTCCCAGAGGTAGAGGCATGAAGGGATTGGTAGTTTCACAACAGCTGGAGTGACAAGGTTGCCTACACCTGGAGTAGGGTATAGTTTAGATCTGAATCTGAGTATCTGAATATTTTTTTATATTTTACTAGGCCTGTCTGGTGTACAGGGAGCAGCCTTGAGAGAGGCTTCTTTTATTAATCGAAGCTTGTCTGCTCTGTCAGATGTACTGGGAGCCCTAGCAGAGCATCGCGCTCACATTCCTTATCGTAACAGCAAACTTACACACTTGCTACAGGATTCTATTGGTAAGTGCATTTCCTTGTATAATATGTGATATCAACGCAGAAGATGTTGAGAAAATATAGGCATTCTGAAAACATCTTGATTGGCCAAGTTCATGGTGGATAGAAAAATATTGTAATAGAAGAACTCATCTACCAGAAACAGCTTAGAAAATGTAACTGTGTGATAAAAAAAATACTAATTGAGTGATAACTATACCATATAATTCCTATATACACTATAATAATAGCTATTTTTTTCTGCCAGTGAGTTCTCAGTGCATAGAATGGTTTCAGCCATTTTCCTGTTCACTGGACAGGGCATGATTCTTTTTTTGTTTGCAGTGCAAGAGGGCGTTTAGTCCTTTCCCCTGTGTGAAATTTAATTCTACATTTGGCTTCTGATACATTTGGCCACCACGAATAAATGTAAGAGGAAAGCTCACATGCATACTTTCAGTTAACCAGAGTTTATTTTCCCTGCAATGCTGACAGGTCCCCACACCCTGGTACAGACAATCTTTTATCAATTATGTCTGAATCCACCTTCTGCACATATTACCTGCTGCTGTCATACTCTGGTATGTGTTTCTGCTTATACTGCCCACTGTCATTACCTCTGGCAAATTTCTCCTGCATTCACTGCCTACTATCATAACTCTTCCCCTATACATACTGCCTGCTGTCATACTTTGGTATACAGCTCACTATTACAGTCTCTGGCACTTTTATCCTGCTCATACTGCCCACTGCTCTTACTGTCCTATGCACTCATCTCCTGCACATACAACCCACTTCCATACTGTCCAGCACTTTTCATCCCCTGCACATATTGGCAGCCAACATACCCTTAAAAATTCCTGCACATCATACCTTGCACCTTTCCTCTCTTGCACATATACAGTATATGGTATTGTAGCGCTCACCCCCGAAGGAGCCGCTGAATATTGAAATAGGTTCTCCTACCTGTTGGTTCCAGCTACCGGTCCCCTTTGATCAGCAACAGCACACCGACACTCACGGACAGAACGGCTTGAGTCTTAGGGTCTTTTTAGGGTATTTATTTGCAACATCAATAGGAGAGAGAGGGTTTAGGGTCTGTAGGATGCCCTTGGAATCTTCTGAGGACAGCTTTCTCCCCTAGCAACCGCTAAGGCTGAAATCACTGCGATCTGGTCCCAGGGACCAATAGTAGTAGTAGTAGTACTGTGAACAGATACCTGGAATAGGGTGTGGGATCTCCCTTGTGGGACCCAGACGGACGCTCGCACCAGCTCCTCTGCGGTACCCCTCAACAAACGTACTCCTCCTATGGCCCAGCTTCCATCAGGTATTTTCCTCTTTAGGATCTGGAACTTCTGTGCCCTCAGCATCCGCAACTGCCAAGGACCACTCCAGTTAAATGAGAGTATCTTCTTAGAACAAGGCACCCAACACCTGCCACGTGTATGGGCCCAGTGAAGTATCAGTGTATCCTTAGGCCTCCAGGCCCCTCAGCACCTGCCATGTGCTGAGGCCCAGGCCATTTGCTCTGCATCACACACAGTCCTCCTAGGGCAAGGCCCCTAGGGG